TGTTGTGCGTAGTGCTATAATATGTTGATTCTGTTTTGTTAAGTAAACGTGCACCTGACGAAAACAGAAAGTGTTCTATTAGGCGTCCTCGTGCATCCAAACGGGAGTCGCCCCATAGGGGATTATGTGCATTTAGATCACCAACGACTATATATGGCGGAGGAAGTTCATCAATGAAGCTTTGAAATTCTGTCTTCGAAAGCTGATAGCACGGAGGAATGTAAATAGAAGTAATTGTTAGTAGCTTCCCGAACAGCACTGCTCGGACAGCAACTGCCTCAAGAGAAGTTCGGAGGTTTAATTGCTTACAGGCAACACCTTTATCAACTATTAGAGCGACACCGCCCGACGAGGCGGCAGCGTCGTCACGGTCTTTGCGGAAGATGGCATATTGCTTTAGAAAGTTTGTTTGTGTGGACTTGAGATGTGTTTCCTGAACACACAGCACCTTTGGAGTATGTTTATTAAGGAGTTCTCTAATATCATCGAGGTTATGGAGAAGTCCTCTCACATTCCACTGTAAAATCTGCACGTCCATTTTAGATGTGTTTTGTGCTGTGTGCTTAAGGATGGAAAATTAGCTCACGGACCCTTTCCAGGGGCCGTGACACGAGATTTTTCTTTTTTGGATCGGTCGACGGAGTCGTGCCGATCCTTAGGCGCTTGCTGCGCCCTCACGCTCGGAGTTGTGTCCATTGCATCTAGCGAGGCACTGGACAAGCGCTCTTGCGAGCGCTGCAGTTATTTTGAGGGCCTCGCCTCTAAAGACAAGGCCTTCGCGGCCCCCAGCCCGGAGGTTGGTGAGTCCTTTTTCGATGGCGGAGCAGCACTGGCTGCAACCGCCGAGGGGGCGGATGGCGTCACCGCCGGCTCACTACGCGTGTGCCAGACAGGCGCCGGAGCGCCACTTCGGCAAAGCTGGTTTCTGGTAGGTAGGACACCTGCCTTCGTGCCTCCTTAAAGGAAATGTTTTGTTTTACTTTAATTGTGACAATTTCCTTTTCTTTTTTCCAGCATGGGCATGACCGTGAGTATGCGGCATGCTCCCCATTACAGTTCGCACAGTGAAGAGAGTTTTCACTAGGCTTCAGATATGTGTTCTTCAGCACTGCATTTGGCGCAAGTTAGACGGCCTCGGCAGTTCTGTGAACTGTGGCCGAACTGCTGGCATTTGAAACATCGGAGAGGGTTTGGTATATATGGCCTCACTCGTAGCTTGATATACCCAGCCTCAACGGAGTCAGGCAGTACACTTGAATTGAAGGTAAGTATTAGGTACTTAGTGTGGACTTCTTTTCCATCACGCCTTATCCTGATTCGCTTCACGCTGATGACATTCTGTTCGCTGAAACCCTCCAGGAGTTCAGCCTCCGTAAGCCCTAACAGGTCATCATCTGAAACAACGCCACAGGTGGTGTTCATGGTTCGGTGTGGGGTTACTATTAATTTGGTATCTCCAAATTTCACTAGATTAGACAATTTTTCATACTGTTTCTGGTCACGGAGCTACAACAGGAGGTCACCACTTGCCATCCTTGATGCTTTATATCCTGGGCCAAAGATTTCTGTCAAAGATTTCGAAACAAGAAAAGGTGAAATTGTTCTCACTGGTTTGCCGGGTGTGTCAGCGTGGATAACGTGGAATCGGGGAAAGGATACTCTCTGGTGACCCAAAAACTGGAATACTTCATCGGTGCGCCCTCTTTTCTGAGGGCCATCAGGGAGTGGGGGGAAGGAACTAGCCATAAGAAAAGGTTTCTTTTTGGCAGCGGCGCCAGCCACCCACCATGGAGTCCTACTAGGGGACGCTGCAAGGTCTGTAAGCACAGGACCTGTAGACGCCAGCTGTACACCACCACTATAACCGAATATGGTGTATCCAAGGTAGGATAGCCACACAGGGTTAACCCTTGTCGCCAGGAAACACGGACGTCAACGGAAAAAAGCAGAGGACAGGAAAGATTTGAAGTAAGAGAAAAGACGAAGATGTGAGGGGGAGACAGGAAAAGGCGACTGCCGATTCCCCCCAGGCAGGTCAATCCGGGGGTGCCGTCTACGTGAAGCCAAAGCCAAAGGGGTGTGTTGCCTCTGCCAGGGGGCTTTAAAGGTCCAAGCACCCAGCGTCGGCCCAACCCCCAGGATCCCCTTTTCCCCAGACACGGCAAAGCCACGCCTGGCTAGACGTGGGAGGGAGTAGAAACTCCCCCGTTAGCTCGGGTCCGTGGTGTCGCTACACACCAAACGCCTACTTGCGCAGGCGCCCCTGCCGGGCTGCGAAGCGTAGGTGGCTACAAGAGTGCATTGTTGTCTTGAAATTTCGTCGTCCCGCCGATAGGTATCCACTGCGGGCAGCGTACCGATGGGCGCGCAGCGTTGTTACTTTATCTGGTCGATCGCGTCTCGCAACCATAGAGCAGGTGCCTAGAATATTTTAAGTACATTCTAGACACTATAGTTTGGGTCTGTGCGGCTTGACTGATGGTGCAAGCTGCAGGTGGCTGACCTGCAATTCTTGTCGAAATCAGCGCAGCTGAAAAAAATTTTGAGGCTGGCTGGGCATTTTGGTGCAGCGGGGCACCATTTCATCAAATTTCACGGTTTTGGTGCAGCAATCCGGGAATTGTGTCAAATTGGTACAATTGACGCAGCTGTTGCCCCCCTGAAAATAACAATTTTCCCATGGTAACGAAGGAGTTAACGTGGACCTTAATCCAAATACACAGGTTGCTCTCACATTTCACCCTCATCGAAAGGCGGTTGCTGTGGCTGGGAGCAAAACCAGCCCCCTTGAGCTTAGCAGAGGAACAAGCTGTGTGCTAAGAAGCTACCATAGAGGGTAAGCCACAAAGATAAAGTCCAACACAGCAAAGCACACAAAACACCACTGTTACACATAAACAACAGCGGAGAAAAACCCACGTACAACAAAAGAAAATACGTGCATTGTGCTTCCACAGTCGCCTGGATCGGCGCGGGTGGTGGTGTTTCTCCGGCTGTTCTATTCGGCGTGCGCCCCATTGAAAAAATGTAATTGGAGAAGCTCCGCTGCGCGCCGTGACACTCTTATCCCACTTCCCTGCAGACGACGCTACGCCATAGACATGCTTGGAGAAATGCACATTGGTCGTCGTTCACGGGGTGATTGGAATCAAGGTACGCTAATGTGTATTCTTCATCGGGCTTGACACAGTGAGTGTTGTTCTCTGTAGCATGCTATGGTCAAGACAGAGCCAAGCAACGTGAAGCAAGTTCGTGTAGCACAGCTGTTCGCAAATTTCATCTCCATGACGCATGAGTTGAGCTGACTACGTGATCTACCGTGCTTTTCATTCTTTGTTTCAGCGATCATCTCTCTCACTGCTGCCTGGATCGGGGCGCGTCAATTTAGGCAGCCTTGTTTTTTTAAAAGGAATCCATTTCGTCGTTGTCGATCCTACATAGCTATGTTATGCAGCACAGCTGTGTCTTCACGGCATCACATAAATGGAAAACTAAACAGCAGTACTGGTAATGCTACAAACGTTTTCACCTGCATGATGATCGGCAAAATGTTGTAGGTACGACACTCCGAATTTTGAAGTTCCCACGATTCGACAGTGATGTAAATGCGACGTTCTTATCTAAGCGCAGGCCCCATGTAGGCGAATACGATCGTGAAAATGATGGGCGACGCCAGTCGCCTGCCGCCAGAAATCAGGTCATCCCATGACCTAAGTACTTTCTTTCGCTTAGGTGAAGCTTGTTGTTTTAAAGCGCGGCATAATAAAACAGCTTGGTTTTCAGAACTTATGTCATCAGCATCTATGTGAGAGCAGAAAAGCTGGGTTGGCCGTGAGCGAAAACTCGAGGTAGATGCAATGAACATGGTGTTTGTACTTTGGCCTTCCTCACGGTAAAGTGTAGGTCTCTGCCGAGAAGTGAGGGGTTTGTGCTAGCGATTCAGGAGGCGATTGTGCGTGTTCTCCCGTGTGTGTGTGTGTATGCATGTGTGGGTGAGTGTGTGTGTGCACTTTTATGTTGAGTCTAGAGCATACGCTTCGTGTATGTTCTTACGTACGTGAGGGTGTATGAATGTGTGTGTATGTGCGCGCATGCACTCATCAGTCTATGTGTGTGTGTGGGCGAGTGCATGCACTCGTGCATGTTTTTTGTGCGTGCTAATGTGTGTGTGGGCGCACGTTCACTTTCGTGTGTGCTCTTCCATACGAATGTGTGCATGTGTATGTGAGTACACTCATCTGTGTGCACATGTTTGTGTGTGAGTGAATGAGGATGTGTGTGCGCTCTTCTGTGTGTGAGTGTGTCCCTTCATTGCGGAGAAAGGTTGTCTGTGAGTAAAGCAGGTAAGCTTGCGCAGTGAAGGCCTCAGTAACCCAAAGTATCTCCGCGAACCTCCACGATGCAGCTCAGCTACCCTTCGGATTGTTTTCCTCATCTGAAAGCGGTGAAGAGAAAAAAATTTATTAATCAATCGGGTGAGTTCGCTCTCTTCTGTACTGTAACGGCACCAAAAATTTCTTGAAAATTGGCTCACAGATGTGTTCACTTCGGTCACTATCACCATGACAGGAGAAGAAAAAGAAAACCACGTGGAAAAAGAAAGTATATAGCGCCAATCGCCATCAATTTCTCTATTTGTTTTATTTGATACGGTTGGAGGGTGAGAAAAGATAAGGTGCATAGCTAACCCATGGTCTGCGGTTTCTATCAAGTGGCAAAGCTACGCAAAACATCCTGCATAGGCAGCAAAGGAAAGGAAGGGTAGTAGGTGCGCATCGCCATGTGGCGGACAGAGCACTTACGCCACCTTTTGCAATTACGCCTCAACACTCCGTGCACCGATCCAGGCGGCCTTGGTGTTTCTATTATTTTGGTATGCTAATCCCGTGGGCTTTTTAGATGCTGTAAAAAAGCATTCCAAACATAAAAAGCTTTATGGTAATGTAATAAAGAGAGGTAATATTGTAAGGCAAGCAGAAACAGGTGAGTGGCAAACCTACCATGTTGATCACATCCCGCCAGCATGACTGCGAGCCCAGCAACAGAGCGGCCAGAGCCTCAGGCAGCAAAGACCACAGATCTGGCTCGAGGTGGCTGCAAGCAGCAAGCTGAGATGATACAGGTAGTTGTACTTTTGACAGCACTAGTGTGATGAGAGACAACACGCGCAGTTGGAAGCGGAGAAGCTGCAGAGAGAAACATTCAGAGAATTAGTTCAGTTCAGTACAGGGCAAGGAAATCATATTGCCTAGTACATGAGCAAGGTCTGCATTTCAGTCCATTACTGAATTCACTGAAATGTGAAAGCGCACAACAAAAACACTGAGTGACTTTTTTTCACCTTTTGTCACTATGAGTGCGATCGGGGAAACAGTGGTGGCAGGTAGCAAAGGTGCGACCCCAAAGTTATGTTGCCACACAACATAGCTTTCGGTGTTTCTTCTCTTGTTTTCATATCTTTCATACTTTCTGGAAATGGCAGCCACCCTGGCTTCCATCAATTCCTAGCTTTAGGAGCCATCTGGTGCTGTCTACAAGTGCTCACGTAGCCTGGGCTATGTTGCATTGCCAGATGCTTGGAGGTATCTTGCACACAAAAAGCTTGGGGAACACTTAAGCTTCGCCTTTAAAAGCTGAAAGCGATAGCGATATTCTGTTCCTAATGTGTACTTCAAACACTACAGTGTATGAAATCTTTCCGAACTTTTTATGCACCCCCTACGTGACTTTGAGGGTACAGTAGCTTGTGTGCCTCTTGTAGTGGGTGACCTGCTTTTTACTATGAAGTCATTATAATAATCCCATGTTCTGATGGCTTGTACCACTTATTATTACAGCAATATTTCATGTTGTATTGCGAAGCGTCTATACAGGACGCGTGTGTTTGTAAAGCATACTTTCACTGCATCTCCAAGCAGAGAAAGTTATTTTCGCTGTATTCACAAACAGAGGGGTGGCTGTGTGGTAGAACACTCGCTTGCCACACAAACAACTCGGGTTCGATCCCCACTCAGACCCGCCTCTGCGGGAATGTCTCATGGGTCGCCGCTGCTTTCTCTTCCAGCCTTTCGAAGCAGACAGCTTACCAATTACTTATTAGCACTTTTACATCGTGAAACGTTTCTGTTTTGACTCTGTACTGCGAAAAACAGCAATACTCTGTGTACTGAGTGCCCGCGCTGCATATAGACCATTTTCACAAGAAGGCAGCCATGATAGGTGGATGGAGGCTATGACTGTCCCCTTTATAATGGGGCGGCGACATGTGTGCCACCAGGCTCGCAGAAAGAAAAAGAACTTTCTTTTTATGTTAGTACAATGCCTTATATACTTTGATTAAACCGATCCTATTATAACAAAGAAAAATGTAATTTTAAGTTCTATCTCTGCCCATTCAGGCAGAACGACCTCATTTTTACCACTATTTCTATTATTTATCCCGACTTTTCTGCCACCAATGCTCTCATCATCTCTTACTTGCTTCTATCGCAGACGTGTTCGGCTTTCCATGTTTATCCCTAAGCGCAAATCCTCATATAAGCTTGTACCCACAAATATATCTGGGTGGATATCGTCGCATTAAACCAGAACATGTTTCATCGTTTCCTTAGCTCCCCCACAGCATGTACATTGTTATTTTTTATTGAATTTCGCTTTATGACTACGTGTTCTAAGGCAACACAATTTTGTTTCGAACAGTAAAGTGCTTCCCCTTGAATTATCATAAAACCTCTCCCGCCTTATTTCATACTTGCCCTTTCGGTAACTACTGAGAGCCGGCTTCTTTTCCATCGCTGTCATCGAATAAATCCTCTCCTCTTTGACTTATCGCTTAATGCTCCTTATTACCATATCGCCCACATTACCAGCCATATATTTACTGGTGAGCCTCCTAGTTCTTTTTCTCCACACTGTGTCCACACTTCTGAACACTTTCCCTGCCCATCTACTCTCATTTATTTTCCTTCTGCCTTTCTCAAATCTCATATTGCTCTGAGCTTCCCTTACTTCGAAGCCTGTTCATTCCATATCCCCCCTTACAGCCTCATTCGGCTGGCTGTATCGATGGATGGATGGATGGATGGATGGATGGATGGATGTGGCTGTACCCTTTAGATCGGGCGGTGGCTAGCGCCACCAAGCCGCAATACTTAATGAACCAAAAACTAGATTTATTTTTTCCCCTTAAATAGTGAGGTTGAGGATTCGTACTTTGCAGTGAAGGGTTTAATTTTCACTCGTGCCTTGACCTTAGCCACCAATCAGGTAACCTCCTTCTAGTTAATTCTACCAGCTTAAAGTCTATTTTGCCCTCACTGTCACTAAACCCCAGTGCTTTGAAAAACTATGCGCCATCATCCTGAACTATAGGGTGAAGCCCTTTACAAAACATTATCAAGTGTTCGGCAGTTTCTTCTTCCTCTCCACACGCACTGCATACCGTGTCTACCTCTTCGTGTTTGGCCTGATATGTCTTGGTTCGCAATACTCCCGTCCTGGCCTCAAACAGTAGAGAACTACCCCGAGTATTATCATAGATCCTTTCCTTGGCAATTTCCTGCTTAATAGTTCGATAGATCTCTAGTGCGGACTTCTTAATCATGCCAATTCTCCACATATCGGTCTCAGCTTCCTTCACCTTCTTCTTAACCGATAATTATTTTTGGTTTGGCACCCTGCTGTTTTCCAAGTATATACCAGTCAATTTTCTGGTTCGCTTCCGCCATCTTGGATCGACATTCTTCATGTACAAGTAGCTGAATACCTTCCTAGCCCAACGCTCCTCCCCCATTTCTCTCAATCGCTTCTCAAATTTTATCTTGCTGCCAGCTTCCCTGCCCTCAAATGATGTCCATCCCATATCACCTTGTACTCCCTGATTTGGTGTATTCCCGTGAGCTCCTAAGGCAAGCCTAGCTATTCCACGTTGCTTAATTTCTAATCTTGCTTGAACTTCTGATCTCATGCAGAAGACCGCGTTGCCGAATGTCAGACCAGGAATCATGACACCTTTCCATATTCCTCTCACAACATCATACCTAATGTAATTCCACAGTGCCCTGTTTTTCATTACCGCTGCATTCTTGTTACCTTTAGTCGTTACGTATATTTCGTGTTCCTTTAGGTACTCGGCCCCATTGCTTATCCATACGCCCAGAAATTTGTATTTATCTGTTATCTCTAGCGTGACCTCCTGTATTCTAAGCTCACTACCTTCATTGTCATTAAAAATCATGACTGCTGATTCTTCCTTACTGAATCTGAAATCTAACCTATCTCCCTCACTACCGCAGATGTCCACCAATCTCTGCAAATCTTCCTTGTTGTCGGCCATTAGCACTATATCATCTGCGTACATCAATGCCGGTAGTGTCTGTTCAATGAGTTTTCCTTGTTTGGCGAAAGAGAGGTTGAAGCCCAGTCACTTCCCTCTAATTTGGCCTCTAATCCTTGTAGGTACATCATGAATAATAAAGGTGACAGAGGACACCCCTGCCAAAGCCCCCGTTATCCCTCTGCAGGCTTGGATACCCGTTTTTCCCACTTTATAATTACCTTGTTAGCTTTATAGATATCCTTTAAAAGACTAATGACTACATCTTCCACGCCTAGTGTGTCCAGTATTCCCCACAATTCCTCTTGAACCACGCTATCGTACGCTCCTTTGTTATCCAAAAATGCTAGCCACAGGGGCCTGTGTTCCTTTTCTGCTGTTTCGATGCACTGCGTCAGTGAGAACAGATTGTCTTCCAACCTCCTGTGTTTCCGAAACCCATTCTGCAGTTCCCCCAGCACCCCCTCATCCTCTATCCATGCGTGCAGTCTTTTCTTTATAATCTGTATCGCCAGCCTGTAGACCACTGATGTCACTGTTATAAAAAGGTAGTTGTTTATGTCAGCTTTGTCCCCCTTTCCTTTATAGATCATGCTCATCCTGCTAAGTTTCCATCCATCGGGAACTTCTCCACCGATTATTATTTTGTTCACTACCTCTCCCAAAGCCTGCTTAGACTTTGGACGTAATGTCTTTATCAGCATGATTGGAATGCCATCTAGGCCTGTTGATGTACTACTAGGAACCCTTTTTTCAGCTCTTTCCCAGTCTTGTTGTGAAAATGGAGCCATTGCGCCACTTGATTCATCCTTGTCTATTGTGGTGCATAAAGCACTCCTTTGTTGAAATTTTTCTGTCACCCTTGCTCCATATATTCTATACCTTCGTCCCCTTCTAGCATAGCACCTTGAGCTGTAGTTATAAACCTCTGCTCTAGGCTTGTCTCATTTCTTAGGGAGTTTAGATGGTTCCAAAATTTCGCAGCTGCCTTTCTATCTTTTTTTATGTACTTCTGCCAGCCACTGGGCTCCTTTGCTTCTAATCTTTTCATTGATCAGAAGGGAAGCATCCCTTCTAGAGCTTAGAAAGATTTCCCATTTTCTTTCAACATCATCTGTCGGTTCAGCCCGCTGCTTGGCATGTCTGTGTTCTCTAGAGGCTTTCTGACGTTTTGCTATGGCTCTCTTAACTTCCTCATTTCACCAACATTTGGGTTTGTGTCTTCTTTTCCGGGGTGACTTGTCACGTGCCTTAGCAAGCTCTAGCTGAAACAGTCTAACTAGATCCGTGTATGTCCACACTGTTTTATTATCCTCAGTGATTACTTTCTCAATTTGTTTAGTGGCTATTTCAATCTGCCTTTCTGAATAAAAATATTCCTGTAGTTGCTCATCTTGTCTCCTTCCCAATTTCACTGCTCTTCCAAAACTTAGCTTGATACGATTGTGATCACTACCCAGACTTCTGGAGCCACATTCATCTATGTGCATTTCCCTGAGCTTATCATAAATGCTATGTGACATCAGTGCGTAATCTATTGTCGACTGCAGTCTTCCTACCTCCCATGTTATTTGCCCTTCACACTTCTCGGTACTGTTGCAAATGATCAAATCAAGCCTTTCACACATATCCTGGATGGATGGATGGATGGATGGATGGATGGATATGGCTGTACCCTTTAGATCGGGCGGAGGCTAGCGCCACCAAGCCGTGGTACTTAATGAACCAAAAACTAGATTTATTTTTTTCCCTTAAAGAGTGAGGTTGAGGATTCGTACTTTGCAATGAAGGGTTTAATTTTCACTCGTGCCTTGACTTTAGCCACCAATCAGATAACCTCCTTCTAGTTAA